CAAGGGCAGCCTGGCTGGGAGCAGTGGGCAGAGAAGGCAGATTTCCCAAAGTGGGGGCCAATATGGTATCAGTGCTATTGGGCCCAGGGAGAACTGGAAAGTGTGGGCAAAGATTAAGGCAGACGCAGGAACAAATGGTGAGAAGCTCCAATGCCACAGGCCTGTCACTGAAGCTCCTATGCTGGGAGCGGTGACCCCTGTATCAGTGGCTCCTTTTCTGCCCCACAGTGCTGCCCAAATTTGAAGTGACCCTTGAGTTGCCCCTTGTGGTGACGGTGCTGAAGGAGACATTAGAAGTGCGAGTGCGTGGCCAGTAAGTACAAAAGCAGCCACATCAGGGAGGTTCGAGGTAGGGCGTGGGTGTCTGCCCGGGCCCAACACCCCTGCAATACCACTCACCCCAGAAAGGCAGAGTGGGAAAGCATCACCCTTCCTCTCTTGTTGACCTCTTAACTGTACTACGCAGATACACCTATAGGAAGCCTGTTCAGGGGACAGTCCAGATCAGCCTGTGTCAAAAAGCCTGGTGTTTCTGATTTAGTCATAATGAAGCCCAACAATTGTGCATGGAGTTTACTGGCCAGGTGAGTGCAACTGGGGAGGAGAGAAAAGTCTGTGGGATATTTCTGCTTGGCTGAACTGAAGGGGCATTGTGACTTGCATTGATGACAATGCTAATGATGCATATCAGGGCCATCCAACTTCTTCAGCCCTGAACACCAGATCCAAACCATGGGCTTCTCACGAACCACCTCCAGGCCATGCCACCACCCCCGTGGGCTACATTATAAGCCTTTGCAGACAGCTTGTGACCCACAGGCTGCCCTTTGGACAACCCTGATGTAAATTATTCTGCGATCCATCTTCCTCCCATCATTTATAAACACTCTGCAGACTAAGGTCCTCATTTAGCCACTGATTTGAATCTTGAGTGGCCCACACCCAGGGACCCCTGGAGTTCATCATGTACAATGGTGGGGGATGATCCAGAAGCTGTTTAACAGTGAACAGCAGCACAGTCCTGAGGAAAGGGAGATGGAAAGGTAGGTTCCCACTGAAAGTGTCAGGACAAACAAGGACACAGATTGGAATTGGCTGGGGCTGCCCCCATGCTGAGGGTGAAGAGCACCACGAGATGTCACAGAACCACATGGCCAGGTTTTCTGTCTCACCAAAGAGACTGCAGCTCCAGCACCATGCTGGGATGTTGGCAGCAGGGATAACCTCCAGAGGGGAACATCTACCCCTGTTTTCAGCAGCCAGGGTTTCCTGTCGCCTCTTCCAAGCAGTGCCAGGCAGAGTCCAATTAGATGCATCAAGCTGTGACCAGTGGGACCTGGCTAAGCCATTGGTAATTCTCTCCTCTAGACGGAGAAGAATGGATGCTTTTCCAAGAAGGTGTCAATGTCTGTCTCATTTTAACCTGACTTCCTCTGGATATAGAAAGAAGCTCCAGGCCACAGCCTCACTAACAGAGGAAGGGACAGGTACGATCAAATACATGCTCTGTGGAACGTGTACATAGAGATACGTGTGTGCATGTACTGACACACACCCAAGTATGTGCGTGCTCTTGAACATTTATCAACAAATGCCTGCATATGCACGCTCATACTCACATGTGCTCATGGCCTCGTGTACATGCACATCCAGCATACAGCATGTAGCAGCGAGGTAGAACAGTCTCTCTCGCACACATGAAAACATAACTTCTAGCTCAGAGACAGGGTTCTGCGAGGGCCCATCATGTTCAAAAACATTCCCAAATGATGTTAGGCTCCGCAGCATAGTTTCATAGTAGCTAGGGTCAGGAGGGACCTGAACAGATCATCTAGCCTGACCCCCTGCCACAGGCAGGGATGAAT